TTTCTCTTGCTCACTCTATCTCTCAAATAAATAAATAAAATCTTTTTTTTTTAAGATTTTATTTATTTGACAGAGAGAGAGAGCACAAGCAGGGGGAGTGGCAGGCAGAGGCAGAGGGAGAAGCAGGCTCCCGGCAGAGCAGGGGGAGCCCGACGCAGGACTCGATCCCAGGACCCTGGGATCATGACCTGAGCCGAAGGCAGTCGCTTAACCAACTGAGCCACCCAGGCGCCCAATAAATAAAATCTTTTAAAATAAAAAAGAATCTCCATTTTAGTTTTTCATTAACTTCTTTTTTTCTTTTTTATTTTTTTTAAATATGGAATACTTTTCAATTTGTGTGTCATCCTTGCACAGGGGCCATGCTATCTTCTCTGTATTGTTCCAATTTTAGTATATATGCTGCTGAAGCAAACACTATTTTAATTTTCTTAAAAGTAGAAGAAATACTCTATTTTCTTTGAGTTTATTCTGTAGTTCATTTTCTAGTTTTTTTCTTTTTTAAAAATTTTCCCCAAAACAAAAGAAAATTTTCCCATTATTATTATTTTAAATTTTATTAAGTTTTTAATTTTAATTCCAATATAGTTAACATATAATGTTATATTAGTTTCAGGTGTACAATATAGTGATTCAACAATTCTGTACCTTACTCAGTGCTCACTGTGATAAGTGGGCTCTTGATCCCCATCACCTATTTCACCCATTCCCCCCCCCCACCTCCCCTCTGGTAACCATCAGTTTGTTCTCTATATTAAGAATCTGTTTCTTGGTTTGTCACTCTCTTTTTTTTTCCTTTTGTTCATTTGTTTTGTTTCTTACGTTCCACATACGAGTGAAATCATATGGTATTTTAAAAAAAGAAATTATATGGTATTTGCCTTTCTCTTAACTGATTTATTTCCCTTAGCATTATACTCTCTAGCTCCATCCATGTTGTTGCAAATGGCAAGATTTCATTCTTTTTTATGGCTGAATAATACTCCATTTTGTGTATATACCACATTTTCTTTATCCATCTATCTATCAACGGACATTTGGGTTGCTTCTGTAATTTGGCTCTTGTAAATGCTGCAGTAAACATAGGGGTGCATGTATCCCTTTGAATTAGTGTTTTTGCATTTTGGGGGTAAATACCCAGTAGTGTCATTACTGGATCATAGAGTAGTTCCATTTTTAAATTTCGGAGGAACTGCCATACTGTTTTCCACAGTGGCTGCACCAGTTTGCATTCTTACCAATAGTGCAAGAAGGTTCCCTTTTTTCCACATCCTTGCCAACATTTACTGTTTCTTGTGTTTTTTATTTTAGCCATTCTGACAAGTATGAGGTGATACCTCATTGTAGTTTTGATTTGCATTTCCCTGATGATGAATGATGTTGAGCATCTTTTTGTGTGTTGGCCATCTGTATGTCTTCTTTGGAGAAATGTCATTTTCTAGTTTCTTAAGATAGTCACTTAGTTCATGACTCTGGAGCTTTCTTCTTTTCTAGTGTAAGTATTAAGGGGTATAAATTTCCTCCAAAACACTTCTTTTAATGTATTCAACAGATTTTGATAGGGTAGTATCTTCATTTTTTTATCCAGTTCTCAATATTCTTTATTCCTCCTATGATCTCTTTTTCTTAATCCAACTTGGGCCAATTAGATTTGACCTGTCTGAAATTTGGAATAAGCGTACTACATTTCAGAGTCAAGCAGCTGTGTGGTGTTGGGCTTCATGGTGCTTTAGAAAGGGGGCAGCAAATTCCTCAACAAATTCCTCCCCCATTCAATAATTTCAAACTATGAAATTATTATTTTTCCCTTAGTAACTAGTAAAACAAATGATTTTTTAGCTCTACTTAAGCTTGAGTGAGTTTCTGCCCCTTGCAAATTATCCATTTTTTGTATCTATTAACTAAAGTCCCCCATTCAAACTGGCTTAAGAAAGAGGGTAATCATTATGGACAAGGAGGGAAGCTAAATATCTACAAGGAGAGAATGGAGGAAATCTGCTGAGGGATACAGGCAAACATGAATGGACCAGTGCAAGATGAAAAGAACTGGATAGATTTATACAACCCATGAGACCAGCTGCACTTCCTACTTTTTTGCTTCTGTGACATCGTCATGCACCTTTACAATATATTTTTTTTAATTTTAACCTAATTACAGATATACAGACATATAGATTCAGATATAAGAATAGTACCAAGAATCCCTGTACACTTCACTCACATTCCCCAACAGTCAACATTTTACCACATTTGTTTTATCCTTTTCTGTCAGTGTGTATATATGCTTTTTCCCCCTAGCTGTTTGAGAGTAAACTGAAGAGACCATACCCTTTTACCCTAAATGCATAAGTGTACATTTCCTAAGAATAAGGCATTCTTTTACACAACCATAGTATAATAGAACTAACATTGATACAATATTGTTATCTAATCTACAGTCCTTATTTAGTTTTGCCAATTGGCCCCATAATAGTCTTTATGGAAGTTCTGATGTCTCTTTAGTCTCCTTTAATCTGAAATAATTCCTCAATGTTCTTTTTTCTTTTTTTTTTTTTTGAGATTTTTATTTGAGAGAGAGTGAGAGTGAGAGAGATCACAAAAGGAGAGAGAGAGGGAGAAGCAGAGTCGCCGCTGAGCAGGGAGCCCAATCCCAGGACCCTGAGATCATGACCTGAGCCGAAGGCAGATGCTTAACCGACTGAACCACCCAGGGGCCCCTCAGTGTTCTTTTCTTTTCCCAATCTTCTTCTGTGTTGCATGACCTTGACATATATGAAGATTACAGGCCAGTTATTTTATAGAATATCCTTCAATTCCTATCTGTCTTCCTCATTATTAGATTCATATTATGCATTTTACTCCGGAATATCATTGACATTCTGTCATATCCTCAGTATTTCATACCAGGGGGCTTGTGATGCCATTTTGTCCCATGACTGGTAATGTTAACTTTGATCGTTTGGTCAAGGTGGCATCAATCATGTTTTCTCAACTATGAAATTATTATTTTTCCCTTAGTAACTAGTAAAACAAATGATTTTTTAGCTCTACTTAAGCTTGAGTGAGTTTCTGCCCCTTGCAAATTATCCATTTTTTGTATCTATTAACTAAAGTCCCCCATTCAAACTGGCTTAAGAAAGAGGGTAATTTATGTTTGCAACTAACTAAAACCACCATTCAGATTGGCCTAAGGGGAAAGGGGAATTTATGGTCCTGAAGCAGCTCTCACTTCAGGCACAGCTGGATCCAGGAGCTTGCCGTAATCAGGAACTTGTCTCATTCATAGTTATTTATGTAAATTAAAAGGGACTAGATTCTGGGCAGACAGAGGCAATAGATATTTGCTACCTTGATTCAGACAGTGGCAAAGAGGAAATAGGAAGTGCACGAAGAGATCCAACCACAGGATGGAGTTCCTTTGGGGAGCCTTACCCAAGCTGTTCAAGTGGTATCCGACAACCCAGATCCAAGAATATTAGCATATTCTCTTCCTGGCCACAATGATTGGTTCAGGGATGGGCTTAAGACCCAAGCTGGGCTGAGGGAAAAACAGGTCCAGGACTTTCCAGAAATACCGGCCAAAGAGGCACGGTGGCTGCTGAGCTTGTGTGGAATGCCAGCCTAGAGCTGTAAGGGGTCGTCTTTCTTTCTTAAATGAAGAGTCTACCTGAGGGTGAAACCCAACACAGAAAAGCAGAGCCAAAATACATAGAAAAATAGACCCTTCCTGGCTTTGTTTCAATACTGGATCCAGCAGTGCTTGAAGCCAGCATTCCCCTGCCGTTGTCAGCTAGAACAGCCAATAAATTCACTTTCCTGCTTAGCCAGTGTGGAAACAGAATGCTGTAGGTCTCTTCTTCAAAAAAGAAAAATACACAATGAGAAAAATTCTACTTTTAGGAATCAAATGATCTTTTAAATTAAAGGGGAATTGTTTGGACCCCAGTGCATTTGTGTATTCAAGTGCTGTAGTGTAAAAGCTTATTTTAGGCTGCATTGATAAAAAATAATAATAATACGTTGATGAGCATTTGAACCTACAGTTTTGATAATATGATTAATCAAGTAGAAGTGGAGGCCTAAATGAAGATTATACTTAGCTATACCCTGTTCTCCATGAAAATAGGCTGATTTCTCAGTTTTTCTGCAATTCAATATAAACAACAAGAATTCTCTTGCTGGGCTGCTTTATTATGGAGACTGTTTTACAAATCACCTTTACTGAGGTATAACTTATGTACCGTAAAATGCACCCTTAAGTACAGTTCAGTGAGCTTTGACAAATCTATACCCCATGAAACCACCGCAACAATCATGATATAGAACATTTCCTTCACCCCCAAAAAGTTCTGTTGTGCCCTTTTGCAGTCAGTTCCCTTCTCATGGCCCCAGGCAACCACTGATCTGCTCCGTCCCCTTAGATTACCTTTGCCTGCCTTAGAATTTTTATAAGTGAAATCATACAATATGTATTCTTTTATGTCTGGCTGGTTTTATTGTCTTTTTGTTTTCTATAGAGTCTATTTATGTTCACATGTGTGTCATAGTTTATACATCATATGTTAGATACCTGTGGAAAATAATAAAATAAGTAGGATATAACAGTAGTTCACAAACTCCACTTATTAGCCATTTCACGTGTAGTTGAACTCAAAATGAACTATTTTTAGTATGTCTTTCCCAACTTCTGGAAATTTTACTTTAAAAAGTATAAAGACCCTGGAAGAGCTTTTCATTATTGAGATGTCTTTTACAATTCACTGTTTCCCTTTGGAGAAGTTTAGTTTCTAAAGTCAGCTCCCAGAGCAGTCTTATTCATACAAGCCTTGTTGGCACCAGCTTGAATCATCTCCTGTCACTTACACACACCTCTCTTGAAAATAGTCCTGTCCCTTTGTGTCTTATGGAGCTCACTTAACACGCTCAGCCCATGTTGGAATAAAAAGGGCCATTAGAATATTATGTCCTGCAGGTGTAGGAAAAGGGTGTTGAGAAGGCTCTCACACCAGATGTCCCCTCAGCTCAAAGGGTAGAGAATCAGGTTCCATAGGGTCCAAGTCTCCTGCCACCCGACCATAGATTCCTCTTGTATCCTCATATGTCTCCTCAGGCCAGCAGGGGTCAAAGGGGCTCTGACAAGCAAAGGTGGAGTTAGAACCATAGAAGGATGCCCTATGAGTCATCATTACCGCTCTAGGAGGGATACACACTCCTACTCAACTTCCCAGAAAAAAAATGTTTTCATTTCTAATTATGAGGGAAAAAATCAACATATACAAAGAGGAGAGCGATTATAATGAGCCTCCATCATGAACCTCCATGTACCCATCACCTAACTTCAACAATAGCAACCCTTGGTCGATCTTGATTTATGTATATCTCCATCTTTTCATCTCCTAACCTCACTAACTGGGTTGTTTTTAAGCAAGTCTAAGATTTCTCATGATTTCTGTCAGAAAAATAATTTAAATGTCAGAAATATGAAACTTTTAAAAGTACATGATACAGAGAATTGGAGTGGAATGTGAGTCATGATTCTGTAAGCCTATAAATTTCAAAGTTTTCATCAAAATAGAAGACAAAAAAGACCAAGTAGAGTGGTTGTTACTGGAGATGTGCTTTCCCCTAGGATTGGGAGCAAATGGTGGTTTTAGCTCGGCAAACTTTAGAGCCAATTTGCCCATGGGCCAAATACAGCCTGCTGCTTGTTTTTGTACTGCCTGGGGCTAAAGATGCTTTTACATATTTTAATTGATGGGAAAATACCAAGAGAAGAATATTTATGACATGTGAAAATTATATGAAGTTCAAATTTCAGTGTCCAAAAATAAAGTTTTACTGGAACTTAGCCACACTTGTTCATTTATGTATTGTCTATGGCTGCTTTTATACTACAGAGGCTGAGCTGAGTAGTTTTGAAAAGGACAGCAAGCCCAAAGTTTTTACTATCTGGACCTTTACAGAAAAAGTGTGCCGATTGCATCTGTGCTTTAGAGGGCACATATGGTTCAGGACCATGGACAGCATTTTAATGACCATTATTTCCACGCTGGTGAGAACAGTGCCCCATCTGGGACAAAGTTACAGAGGGAAATCCTTGTCCCAGAGGTGCTAGAGCATTAGCCAAGGCCACACGGAAAGTCAAGGGTTCTGTGTCACCTCCCTTACAGTAGGTGGGGGTAGTTGATAGTCAAAAGGGTCTGTTGTTCTTGCCTGCCCAGTCACCATCTTCACTTCCCTCTGGGCTCTCTGTTCCTCTCTCACTCAGTCCAGTGGATGGCCCCTACTCTCTGATGCCATGGCTGGGCACCAGTCCAGACCTGTCCAATTAGCATAGTCTTTCCCCTGCCTCAGTGGTTCAGCAATAAGTATGTGACCAAAGCTAGACTAATAAAGTGTCAGTTCTGGGACTTTAGAGGTATTGGGAAAGACACACTCTCTTTCTCTGAAGGTTACCAATCTAATAGGATACAAACCTGCATTTTCTGGGGACATCTCTAGGGAGGAAACTCTGGGTCCACCTGGGTGGGGCCTGAAGACTATTCTGTTCCTTGACTTTTCAATTAAGTGGGCCAAAAATTTATTTCTCTATACCTCTCTGTTTAACCAGCATAGTGGAGAAGGCTAATTATCCAGTAGAATGCATAGCTTCTTTCTTCCATGGTAATAGAAATATAGTGAGGCATCTAGATGCCAAGCTGGACTATATTTCTCAATCTCCTTCATAGTTAGGTGTGACCATGTGACTGTGTTCTCATCAGGGAATGAGTAGAGTGTACCATTTCTGGGCATAGGCCATACTGCTGGGTTGTGCCTCCACCACACTCTCTTTTTCCGTCTCCCACCAGTTGAAACCCGCAGTGAACTAGCCTATCTATGCAAACTTGAACAATGCACTAGAGGATGACAGAGGAGCACAATGGAAAGAACTTGAGTTCTGAAATAACCATCTGTAATAGGGTCACTCACCTCTGATTGCTATGTGAGAAGGAAATAGGATCGTAGCCAGGCCTTTGTTCTATGGCGTCTAGCTTACCCTAACTAACATAAACAGTAGGAGGTGGGTTTCTGGCACTAGCCAGGAAAAACTTCTGCTGATACAAATCTCCTCACCATTGGTACTTCATCGTAGAGGGGTCCCCAGGCTCCAGGTGGGGCATACAGTCTTTCTACCTCATCATACAGGTGTCCAGGAAAAACCATATCCTCCTCTTCAAGATGTGTGAAACCTGGAGTTGGAGTGGAAGGAAGGGATGATCAGGGCACCTGTCCAGATGTCAGGGGTATCTATGAGCAGAGGGAGCTCTGATATGGTCACAACTCACCTCCGGGATAAGACACCTCCTCCAGTGTTGGTGGCAGCTGGGGGCTGAAGTTCTTCATGGAGTGGTAATATGGTTCTACATCCGTTGTGCTAACCTGTCAACACCCCGCCCCCCCCAAAAGAAAAACCCAGATAAATCTTTTCTATCCTCTGGCGCCATAGTTCCCAGAAAGGACAATGATTAACCTGAAGTTAATGACAGAATTTTAGTCTGCCAGTTCCCTGTCAGCAGAGCTTCCAGGAGCACCCCCACTCACCGTGGAGCTTTGAGTGTCTCTGTCTCCGGTCCACTGGCTGTCCTCATATTCATTCTTGACTCGGTCCTCCTCTGACCTTCCAGGACAGAGGTATGGAGGGCATCTTGGTGTTGACTCAGACACCTCTCATCCCCAAACCTCCTTCCTCAGAGCGTTTCTTACAGAAAAATATTCCCACTTACCCTGCTTCTGTCTTCTCTGTGATGCCTGAGGGAAGTAGGGAAAAAGGGATCAGAGACACCCCTTCTCTGACCAGACAGGCCCTGGGAGACTTTCAATATGGAGCAGCCCCAGGGCTCCTTGTCACCCTTGGGCCTCCATCCCCACAGGGGAAGAATGCTCTCTCCTCACCTTCAGCAAGACGCCTCAGTCTCCGCTGCCAGAGGAATCCCCCAACACAGGAGATGTTAGAAAGCAGCAAAAGACCCCCAGCAGCAAACAGCACAGGCAACAGGGGCAGCCCTGTGGGTTCTAGGGGAAGAAGGTACCCCTCAGTGAACCCAAAACAATTGGCTCTAGGCCCAGAGCAGCATTCTCTGAGAAAGTCCATTTCTGAGTAAGCATAGCCCCTCTTCCTAGGTCAGGGAAGCAGATTGGCAGGGATTTCCAGGTCCACTCCTTCTTGCCACCTCAGGGCAGGTGGCTCCTTTCTCAAGTCAAGCCACTAACAGTAGGTCCTACCTGAGCCCTGTGGTGTAGACTCAGGTGGTAGCTCCAGCTGGGCATTCAAGACCTCTTCCCATGTATTCAGCCTTGCCTACCAACCATAGACCCTGGTATTGGACCCTCCAGCCACACAAACTAACCGCTGGAGCTGTTTCCAGAATCACTGAGGCAGAGCCACACCCCTAAGCCTTGGAAGAGTCAAATGTCTGTCCTTAAATGTCCTTTCTGCTCAACTGATTTTCTTCTCAAGTGACTTCATCTCTTTTTTTTTTTTAAGATTTTATTTATTTGTCAGAGAGGTGAGAGAGCACAAGCAGGGTGAAGGAGCAGAGGGAGAGGGAGAAGCAGACTCCCCACCAAGCAGGGAGCCCAGTGCGGGGCTCAATCCCAGGACTCCAGTATCATGACCCCAGCTGAAGGCAGACGCCCAACCGACTGAGCCACCCAGTCACCCCAAATGACTTCCTCTTCGCACAAACTTCCATTCCAGGTAATATTGGAGTCCTCTGCTATGTCTCTAAGGACAAGACTAAATCCCTCTAAGTAAACATCTGCTCAGCACCTATCTCCCCATCTTCTGCTAACAGCACTCATTTTCCTTTGAGGAAATAGCCACTCCCTCACTCTTAGGCTGTATGTTCCCACAGATCTCCATGGAGGACATGTGGACCTCCCTGGCCGATAAGAGCACCCATCCCTCTTTCCACAGTGACCAGTTCAGACCCATCCAGCGTTTGACCCAAGGTAGACTTTTGCCAGAACATTTAGGACACTCCTCTGCTGGCTGCTGAGAAGTGGAACAAAACTGGAGGTATCTGGAGGGGGGCAGGTACTTCTTTGCCCTCTTGATGAAAGAACCTGAGAAGGAAGCCATCAGAGATGAAGGCAAAGTTGAGAGAGAGAAATAGATCCTTCGTGAAAATCATGAGCACCTATTGGAGTTTTCAACTTCACAAGCCAAGCAATTCTTTTTATTGCCCACAACAGCTGAATTTCTGTCACTTGCAACCTTCTTCTCAGGTTTTGAAGGGGGATTGTTAGCAAAATGGTCATAATTCCCTCCCTGTAACTACACTCTTGAGTAGTCCCCTTCCACACTGACTCGGAGTTGAGACAGGTCACTTGCTTCAGCCCATGAGACAATATCAAGTGTGACAGAATCAGAAGCTCGAAAGTGCTTGGCTGGTCCTGCTGCTCTTGGGACTCCTGTGACCACCTCTTTGTGAACAAGTCAAGGAGAGGGAGAGACATGTGGCCCAGTTATCTCCATTGTCCCAACCAAAAACCAGATTGTCAGATATATGAGGAGGAGGCCATCCTAGATCAACCAGTCCCAGGAGAGCCTCCAGCTGCCTATAGCCCAGACCAGAACTGTTCAGCCACTCAGAATCAAGAGAAACAATGGTTGTTGCTATTAGTGCCCATGTTTGAAGTGGTTTATTTTGCATCAAAAGCCGACTGATATGGGGGCACCTGGGTGGTGCAGTCAGTTAAGCATCTGACTCTTGGTTTCAGCTCAGGTGAGGATCTCAGTGTCATGAGATTGAGCGCCATGTGGGGCTCCACGAGGGCCCATGTCCAGGTCTGTCTCAGCCCCGTGTGGGGTTCTGCCTTAGGCCCCCACCTCCGGCTCCACGCCTAGTGGGGAATCTGCTTAAGAGTCTCTGATTCTCCCTCTCCCCCGCGTGCTCTCTCTGTCTCTAGTATAAATAAATGGATCTTTAAAAAAAAAAAAAAGCCAACTGATACAGGCTCTGCACAGGGCATGGAATCAGCTAATTCTTTCAGAATTGAACTGAATTAGGCAGAGAGAAAATGTGTCACATCCAAGAAAGAGCAAGAGCTTAGGATGTGCGTAGGGGACAGAGCTAAGTCTTAAGGGGCTGTGGCCACAAAACAGAGGTGGTGGGGTTGGAAACCAGAAGACTCTATTCTCAGGGGAGAGAGGGATATTCAAGGGATTAAAAACTTACCTGCAGGCTGCTCTGTGGGCGGCTGGTAGTCAGGTTCTCCAGAAGGCTGGTCTAGACCTGGGGGGTGGGTATAGAGGTTGTGAATTAACACCAAGAATCTGGGTAAGCCTTAAATATTTTGCAGTTTCCTATTAAGCTTTTCAACCCATTTTGAGGAACTGATTTATGGCTTCTCAGGAATATCTCAAATAGAGCTGCAAGTTGCTGATAGTAATGGCAATACTATCAATAGCCATTCTAATGCCAATAAAAATAGTAATGATGATGATAATTATTGTTGACGAGTGCTTTATGGTATGGAAGGTCCTTTTAACCCAAATTATCAATGTTGGAGGGTTAACCAAAAAAGATGATGGGCTCTCAGAATGACTTAATAGAGGTATTAGTTCTAGAGCAAGCAAAGTGAGGTACAAAGTACTTTATGCTTTAGTACTTGGAAGACTAAGGGGGAAAGAAAGAGGAGGAATGGGAGAAGTTCCTTATTTCCGTAAGGAAGAAGGCTGCTCTGTCAGGAAGGGAAAGACAGAGGGAGCTTTAATGGGACAAAATAAATAGAAGTTGAGCATGGGGCATTTCTCTAAATCAGTATTTACATAGCACTTACTTTATACAGGTCCCTGTTCTAAGCACTTCAAGTAAGTTAATTTAATCCTCACAACTGTCTGAAAGAGACCTTACTTTCAGTAACAGGCACAGAGATCTGAGATACCTTATTTTTAGACGCTGAGGCTCGAAAATGTTAAGTAACTTGCCCAAGGTCTCATGACTGGGAAGTGGCAGAGCTGGGACCTGAATCCAGGCTTGTCTAAATGAGGCTCTGTGTGATGAGCCGCTACACTACCGTGCCTGCCAGAGTCCAGCGTTCTCATTAGTCATATGAAGGAATTTGTCCCTTTCATCGAAGTTGCTGAATTTGTTGGCATCAAGTTGCCCATATTATTCCCTAACTTCCCCTTAATGTCTGTAGGGTTAGTAGTAATGCCCCCTGTCATTCTTGCTATGGATGTAGTTGGGTCTTCTCTCTTTTTTGCCTTGATTCGCTTTATAAAGGTTATTGACCTTTTCAGAGCAGCAGCTTTTGGTTTCATTGATTTTTCTCTATGGTTTTTCTGTTTTCTAGTTCACTGATTTTTGCTCTTTATTATTTCCTCCCTTCTGTTTACTTTGGGTTTAATTTGCTCTTCTTTTTCTAATTTCTTAAGATGTGGAAACTAAGCATCAATCTGAAGCCTTTTTTAAAATCTAAATGAGAACTTAATATTGTAAATATCCTGCTCACACTGCTTTAGCTGCACCCCACAATTTCCGTGTTTTCTTCCCAAACGTTTTTCTAATTTCCCTTGTGTCATTAATCACATTCAGACAGAATAGTTTAGTGGCTAAAAACTGGTTCCTGGAGTTCATCTGCCTGAGTTCCAATCTCATCTCTACCTCCTTCTAGCTGTGTGAACTTCAGCAGTTTGCTTAGCCTCTCTGGTCTTCAGTTTCTTCATCTATAAAAAGGGAATAGTATCTACTTTGCTATATCACCCCATAAATCCCCCGAGGAGCTCTGCAACCTGCTCAAGATTGTCCCTTCCCACCTGGGGTAGTGATAGGGATCTGGGACCCCTTGTGAGTTAGTCCGCTGTCCCCCAGGGCATTGCTGGCCAGCAGCCAGACTCTGTATCGTGTAGAGGGCTGCAGCCCAGTCAGTGTGAAGGTGGTGGCCTCAGGTGGTAGGACATCCACGTAGAAGAACCCTGGTGTCCCCAGTGCCTCATATCTGCATGAGAGGGAGGGCAGTCATTCAGGGAGGTGCCCCAGCCCTGTTGGCTGCCATCCCTTCCTGCCCTAACAAGGACCCACCTGATTTGGAACCTCTGTGGCAAACCCCCATCAAAGCCAGGTTTCCATTCCAACCCCACCGAATACGGAGTCGTGCTCACAACCTTTAATCCTGATGGGGGATCCGGGCGACCTTTGAGGAAAAGGATGAGGGGATTAGTCAGAGGATACAGAAGGGTTCTAGAAGATTCCTTCCAGGTTTTTCTAAGAATGATTTTAAATATATAGTTGATTCTCGTGAGTAGTGGTGGTTATGTTCTATAACATTGCTACGAACACTGAATTACAGAACATCAAATCATTGCTTCTGGGGGAAATGCAGTTAGATTCCTGTGAACCTCCTGTCAACATTTTCATCAACTAGTCAATACATGACCTTGTTTTTTCTGTTTCTGTTTAAAAACACCTTATTTAATGTATCTTATTGATTCATTAACATTGAACTCACGGCCAACAGTGTTATAATTTGTGTTTGAATGAAGCTTATCCAACAGAAGTGTTTTCTCCCTATCCTTAGGAACTCTAGACAGCGCGTCAGCACTATGGCTAGGGGCCACTTTAAATAACAAAATCACTAACAAAAGGCACAAAAGTGCAAAAAATATGGGACTAAATAGGCTGCAAAGAGGACATTTCCTTATAGTATGAAAGCTGAAACAAGAAAGCAGAGTGTCACCTTGTTCTACCCCAACTGAGAATGTGCTCATTTGGGTGACTCAATTTTTTTTACCTGCTCTGTACATGTTCCTGAATGACCAAGAAAGCAGCATGGGTATTGATTTTGAGGTTACAAATAAATTTTAGTAAGTAGGCAAATTTGCAAATAGAGTTGGCAAATATGAGCATTGGCTGTATATGACATATGTTCCTTGTGTAGATTTTTTGGTGCCTATGTCACATTCATTCCTTGTTTCTTCTGGTTGCAGAACCCTGAGTATCCTTTGGAAAACCGTTCATCCACATTCTCGGGCCAGGTGCTTCTGATGGAAATGACTCCACTCCTTGTAGGAGAGATCTGTGACCGAGCCAAGCCAACCAGGGTGTCGCCTTCCCTGACCACAAAGTTGGTTCAGAGGTGAGATGAGAGCTGAGTAGAGCCAATGAATCGTAAGTCTAGTACTTTCATGCCACTGTTAGGAAGAGAAAAAATTCCATTTCCCCTGGGAAGTCTAACAGCCTCTATGAGGAGCCTTAGAATAAAGCCAACACAGAGAAAAGCAGACCTGAGAGTCAGAGAGTTCGTGATGACAGCTGAACCTAAATCCAGCAACTCCTGACTTTCTACTTTTCAATTACTTGGGCCAATAATTCCCCCCCTTCTTTTCCTTGCTGTGGGTTTCCCTGAAGATCCAGTCTCCATTAGGATTTTCAGGGCAGGCAGAAACTCCATCCCTGCTCATAAATACTTCTCAGGTTTTGGGAACACTGCCATTCTGGGCCAACCAGAGACTTGGGGGTTGACCCAGGGAGCATCCTCCCAACACCCTCACAGCCCACTCCCACCATACTGATGCTGACGAGTTGAATGTTGGTGTGATCTGAGCCAAGGGGGTTGGTGGCTGTGCACGTGAAGAGGGCGTAATCCTGGGCTGCAGACACGTTGGCAATGGTCAGGAGACTGCTGTGGACCCCACCCTGGTGGTATGTGTGCTCTGTGTACCTGGGGAGAGGTGTGGCAGGGATTCAGGAAAGGTAACTGGGGTTGGGGGACCAAAGTTGGGACTAGAGTGCTACCTGGCTAGGCCTTGACTCACCTGGGATCCTGGAGATCCAGAGGGACTCCATTTTTGGTCCAAGTGAAGACGATGTTGGGGACGCCTCGGGCACGACAGTGGAGGGTGGCAGAACTGGTGCTATCTCCAGCTGCAGCCACCTTAGTTAGGGGAGTGGGGTGCTCCACCTGGGGGGCAACTAAGAGGAGTTGTTGGTCAACATGAGGTATGTGGAAGGACATGAGAGATGTGAGTTTAGTGGCAGGCCTTAAAATCAGGAGTTTGGGTGTTACTCACATCTGACAACAAGTCGGACCAGTCCTCGGGCTGGAGGTGCCACTCCATTGTCCACAATGCACTGGTAAGCACCAGCCTGGGCCAGTTTGGCATGGTGAATTCGAAGACGCCCTGTGGCTCCCTTTGACATCTTCTCCATCTCATCCAGGCTCTGGTCCTCCTCCTCTTCTCCCTTGAGGCACAAGATACAGGAGATGGCCCCCAAGTCTGGCCCCAGCCCCATTATCCCCCAAACTGGGTCTCTCCTGTAGCTTTATTCTCCCAGACACAATCACCCTCCACAGGTCTAGCAAAGAAAAAATTCCCCCATCCATCTATCCATTCCCCGAGTCATCCATCCCTCTATCCATGCATCCAATCATTTATTCATGGGCCCATCCATTCATCCACCAATCCAGAAAGCTATTCATCCATCCATTTATCCAGTCATTCATGCTCAGAACGATCTATCTACCTGTCCACCCATCTATTTAACCATCCATCTCTGCATCAATTTATTCATTTATCTATCCATCTGCCTCTCCTTCATCCATTTGTGCATTCATGCATTCATTCATCTTCCTTCTACCCATCCACCTATCCACCCTTCCATCTCTCTACCCATCTACCCCTTCTATTTACTCATACCTGCACGTACCCTTAAATACATGCAACTGTTTATCAATTCATCCAACTACCTGTTCATCCATCTCTCCATCTCTCCATTGACCCATGCACCCATCCATCCATCCATCTATCCATCCATTCATCCATCATTCTTCCACAGACATCTTTCCACTAATGGTGTATTTATTCAACCATCTACCCTCTAATCTAATCAATTTATCTATTCATTTCTCTCATTCAACCATTTAGTGATTCATCTATTCATCATTTATCCATGTATTCACTTGTCTGTTTGTCCATCTGTTTTTTCATGCATTTATTCATCCATCCACCTACCTATCCATCCACCTGCCCGCCCACTCACTTGGTTATGTATCCACTCATGCACCCATCCATCTTCCATTCAACAGTTAGTTAGGTCTTGGAGGATGTCCCAACAAATATGTAGTTATATAAGATCATATAGCTGTGATCCCTCCTCCCAAGGAGCTCACAGTCAAAAAACCACATCCCCCAGCTCCTACCTCCATTTACCAAAGGTCGGATCCTTACCAGCCTCTCCCAGTTGAACATCCCTGGAAGGATGGGATTGGCATCAACAGTGCAGACTATGTCCACAGAACCCCCAATATTCACCTCAGTTGGGTCCTGGAGAGCTCGGATAGTGGGAGCATCTGGGGGAGACAAGGGGTTGGGGAAGGCATTTGTGCCCATACAGATGATGGTGGGAGAAGGCCCCAGGTGGGAGAGGTGTCTTAGAGGTGCTCAGGAAAGTTACAGGTATGAACAGGTATGATACATTCTGCCCTTTATGCAGAGCACGTGGAGTAATGTTCTCAGGGTTAGTGAGGCATTCCCTACCCTCTACTGTACTGTGCCTCTGTGGTGACAAGAATAGGTCTGGGCGACTTCCAGGATTGTATGGAAGTGGATCTCCACAGTGGGCTTGGCTTCCTACTTTTTATTTTATTTTATTTTTTTTGAGAGAGAGAGCTCCTGCACACGTGCATGTGTGCAGAGGTAGAGGGAGAGAATCTTAAGCCAGCTGCACCCTGAGCACAGAGGAGCCAGGGCTCAATCTCAGGACCCTGAGATCATGATCTGAGCTGAAATCAAAAGTCAAGACGCTCCACCGACTGAGCGACCCAGGCGCCCCAAGGCTCCCCAGTAAGAGTAACTCCCATGTAGGTGGCCCCCCATCTGAGCAGATTCCACGTATAGGGCCTCTCTAGTGGGCAGGGTTCCCAAAGTGGAAGTGACTCCATCACAGTGGAGGCTCCCAGAGTGGGAGGCTTTCAGGATGAGTGAACATCCCCGGGGTAGGCGGAGCTTCCACAATAGGAGACTCCACAGTGGGCAAGATTCCCTGAGTGGGTGTGGTTACCGGGGGGGCGGGGCTCCCAGAACTCCCTAGTTTCCTAGGGTGATGATGGGGGCTCACAGTGTACATCCAGCCGCACTAGAGTTTCAGCAGTGCCCTCCGAGTTCTGGCAATGCAGCTGATAGAGGCCATCGTCAGCTCGGGTCACATTCCATAGCTGCAGGGCTCCACCAGACAGGATGCGATGCCGAGGGCCACCAGCTGGGGGAGGTCAGGGTGAGGAGTCTGCCAGACCCTCGAGGCTGGGAGACCTGCACCCCTCTCTGTGACCACTCCACGCACCTGGGCTGAGGCGGTAGCCGCGGAAGGTCCAGTTGAAGGCCTCCGGGGCAGGGTTGGCAGATACAGACACCGGCAGCAGTGCCTCGCCCTGCTCCACGGCGGTCACCACAAGCACCTGCTCCCCTAGGAACTCTGGAGGGTCTGTGGAAGGGGCGCCACCCGGAGTCAAGATTGTTGTTAAGGTTGGGGTCTGGGATGGATTTGAGATCAGGTACTGGTATAAGGGTTAAAGTTGGAGTCATGACTAGATTTAAGGTTGTGGACAAGGTAACAAGTTCAGAGCTGAGCTCGGCGATTAGGTTCAGGATGGAGGTTAGAATCTAGTTTAGGAAAAGGGTAAAGGCCAGAGTCAGGTTAAAAGATGGAGAGAGGGTTCAGGAGGGTTCACAGTCAGGGGTTAGAATAGAGGGAGGATAGGAGTTGGTGTAGAGCCAGGGCTCAAGGATAAAGTTTCAAGCTTTAGAATGGAGATAAAGGGACAGTGTCAAGGTGAAGACCTAAGTAGTATAGGGTCAGGAGGGAATCTCAAGGGGCTTCCACATACACAGCACATTGAGGCGGTGGAAGGCGCTCATGGTTTCCCGGAGCTCAGGGCTGTGGGCTCGGCAGGTCACTTGGTGGCCATGGTCTCGGGATGACATTCTCAGAAGGACACTCCTAGCTGCTGCAGAGCCTCTGAATGGGGCACTACGGGGTGGTGTGGCCACGCTTTCCAGCCTGTGGCCCATGCAAGGGTGGTAGGGTCAGTTCAGGGCTAGCTCAGGGATGGAACCAGAGCCAGAGGGGTACTAGGTACAGGGCAGGACACCAGGGGTGGGGGTGGGGGCTCACATGGTAAAGGGGCGTGGCCAGAACCAGAGAGGGGAGGGGCCACTGGCACTCTCACCTCTCCCCCTCCTTGTCCCACGACAAGTTGACAGGAGGGTTGCTGCTAACACTGATGCAAGTCAAGTTTAATGCATCCCCTGGGCGCAGAGCCGTTGCGTTGGCCAGGATCGTCACGTTTGTTGGGGGAACTTCAAGAATGGGTCAGAAGAGCGAGGCTCAGATCCCACTTCCGCTTTGCCTAGACCCCAGGCTCTGCCACATGCCTCCTGGCTCTCGATATCCACTGTCCCCCAGCCTGGCTCTGGCTTAGTTCCCTGCCACCACCAAGCCCTGCCCCAGGCCCTGGCCGAGCGCGCCCTCACACTGCACCACAAGCTGCGTGGATGCGCTGAGCTGACCCGCCTTGCACGTGAACTTGGCCTGGTTGTCCGACGGACCCATGATCAGTACAAGCTCTCGGGAGAATGTGCTCCCTGACTTCTCCAGACTTCCCAGCTGCACCCGCCGTGGCTCCTGGGGTGGCCGCGGTTCGGTCACCATCCGGGAGTCCTGAGGGCAAAGACTGACTGGGGGGGACCGTGTAGCCCTGCCATTTCCCCCCCACCCCCGAAACAGCCCCATTGGGTTGGCTGCCGCCAGCGCAGATAAAGCCTTCGTGTGTGAGGAAAAGGGTCCTCCTTACCCTGGCACCCAGCTAAGTTAGAGGAATGAGGACTGGAATCCAGCAGTCCCAGCCGGAATCTCTCCCGCCTACCTGGGGCCGCAGAGCCCCACAGTTTTGCGGTGGGATCTGGCCTCCAGTCCCACGCCCCACCCCTCTGCCCCGCCTCCTCGGCTCTCTGGAGGCCAGCCATGGTTGGTGCCCCCTGCCAACCCTCAGCCCCGCTCCTCAAAATCCATTCCAGCTACACTTAGCAAACAACACATGTCAGGAAAGTCCCATGGAATCCCCAAGCTTTTCCCAGAATTTCTTCATTTTTTCCTATCTTTAGTTCTTTTTCTTAAAATTCCCACTTTCCCCAAAGATTTCCTTTGATCGTTCCTTTAATTTCATAGTCTTACCACAGATTTCTGAATCCTCCCCCAATATTCTCTTATTACACTAGTCTTTTACTAGAATCCTTTCTTTGCCCAAATTCTTGGCATTTTCCCCGAATTCCATCCAATTAAATTTCATTTCTGTAATTCCTAGTCTTTCCCCCAGAATTTTCACTAGCCCCCTAACTCCCCAGGATTTTCTCGGAATCCTGTCAAAATTTCTTTTAATTTTAATGGAATTTCACTTTCTTACCTCCAAATCCCATGAACGCAATTTAATATTAATAGATTTTCAAATGTTCTGTGGAATAACTAGTCTCTCCCCCAAATTTCTAGCCTTTGCCCATCATTGTCCTTGCACCTGGAATTTTTAGTCTTTCCCTAAAATTCCTGCCATTTCATCTGAATCCCTAAGATTTCACCAGAATTTCCTTTACTTTAAATGAAACTAACTGCCTTTTCTCTAGAATTCCCTGTCCTCATCTAGAATTCCTTCTTGTTTTCCTAGAATTCTCACTGTTTTCCCAGAATTTTCCTAGGATTCCATTTCATCCTCATGGCATTTGTGTCTTTTCCAATTCCCTACCAAAACTCAAACTCTCCAGTATTTTTCAAGAAATTCACGTTTTTCCAACATCTCCCAAGACTCTGGAGGAGAGAAAGGGCTCCATCTCCCCCTCCCCCCATTTCTGGCCACCCCCTTAAGCCCTTGTTTGGCACCAACCTTGAGCCAGGTAAGAGAGGGGTCTGGGTTGCCCCCAATGGCCAAACACAGGAGCCTCACTCGAGTCCCAGCCCGGAGCCGTTGTCCCTCTGGGGGACCCTCTATCCACAGCTTCTGGGCAGGATCTGTGAGGAAAGCCAGGAAGAGTGGCTTTTCTCTCTGGGCTGGGCCTGAGGGTGCGGGTGGGGAGTCTCAAAGGGATGGGACACCCCTGGGCAAAGGGTGGGGGCTCACATTTCACATTCAGGGTGAGTGACTTCTTGAAAGTCTCCTTGGCAAAGGCCTCACTAAAGGCCTCACATGTGAGAGTCAGACCATTGTCCTCTCGCCGGACCAGGAACGTCAGGTTGGACATGGAGACGTGGCCACCATGCGGGCCCTGCCAAGGAGCAAGCTTTAGACTTGGCAACGAGAGCACTCCCATCCCCAGTACCCGATGTCTGGGTTCCCCCCGGATCCTAGCAGGGACATGGAAAGCATCTGCACCCCCTCCTCTGTGAGGCCCAGGCCACCAGGTCAGTCCTCTCCCAGATCCAGGAGTCATGCCCCCGGCTCCCTCCTCCCTCAGACCCAGGAGCCTGGCCACTGCCTCACATCCATGACCATCTCTTCTGTAGGCGCCAGCTGCCGCCAACCCAGCCACCATCGTAACAGGACCCGTGGGCGACTGGACTTGGTGATGCAGGAGAGCGTAACGTTCTTGTTCTCAGACTGGGATGCAGATCCCAAGATGGTGATGGCACTGGGGGGGACTGCAAGGACGACGGACAGAGGAGAGACATGAAACCAGGCTGGATGCCTCACAGACCGGCCCCAACAAGGGACTGGGGACAGATGACAAGGTCTTTGGCATCAGACAGGCGTGATTTGGGAGCACAAACAGGTGGTTCCCTGGGGCACGGACTGACAGATGGGCAGCTAGTGTCAGGACTCACAGGTGACCTGCAGCGTGACCCCGCGTTCCTGGATCCCTGTAGATACACTGTTGTGAGCCTCACAGCTGAGCCTCGCCCCATGGTCTTCCGGTCGCACAATCATCACTAGCATGCTTCGGGCCACTGCTTCACCATGCTCTGTGCCCCACGCTGTGGATATGGACTGGCCATTCTGGAGAGAGAGACAGAGCCAGAGCTGGGCCAGCTCAGGGCCGGCTCCCCTCCACCCCCCGCTTCCCCTTCCACCCCCATGCAGGGCTCTGCCCTCACCTTCAGCCACTGCAGTGTGGCTGGCGGATTCCCCCCTCGGGCCACACACAGCAGCTCCAAGCTCTGTCCTGCCCGCACGTGCCCCTCATCCAGGCCTGGCCACTCTATGACAGGGGGTCCTGGGGGGACTGGGAAGCAGCAGTCGTTCAGTGGGCCTGGGGAGCCCATCCATTCTTTCCAGGCCCCACAACCTGCCTCTGAACCCCTGTGTTTCTCCTTGAGAACCTGAACCTTCCATAATCCCTGAACTCCCCCAGGACCCCCAATTCCTGCTTCCCATCCCCCATACCCACAGCTGACTCAGTTCCCCACTTACACAGAACATTCATGGTGACTGAGACCCGGATGGGAGTGTCCAGTGCTGGGCTGGACCCCTCACAGACCAGGAGCTGCCCATTATCTGAGCTCTGGGGTGTCACCCTGGGGTGGGAAGTTGGGGTTCTGGAGTCAGAGTCATCATCTGAAATTTGGGGAGTCAGGGTGAAGAGGTGGGGATCCCAGGTTCCCACACCTGGTCTTCTAAGTCTCTCTGCTGATTTCCTCTAGGATCTAGAGTTCCATGGAAGAGATCTGGGGGGGTCAGCAGTGAAAATTGGGATCCCAGAGGCCCACACCAGGCCAAAATCCTTGCACTTGATACTCTGGAACTAGGGTTCCCATGAAGATGTTTTGGAAGGTCGGGGAGAAGAATTAGGTCCCAGATGTTCATGCCTGATTCTAGTCTCCATGCTTAGAGTTTTCACAGAGAAATTTGGGGGTCAGGCTGAGGGGAGGGCATCCCAAATTTCATACCTGGCTGTGGCCTCTGTGGTGAAGAGTTTCTCCTGGGACCCCGCATTCACATTAGCAGAGACGTCAGAAATTGTTTGTCCACCTTGAGGCAACAAGAGGGCTAGAGGGATGCCGGGTTCTCCACAAGGCAGATCCTGGGGAGAATGGCCTGGAAATCCTCAGGGTGGACATGGTGCCCCCTCCCTCCTGGTTCTGGAGGAAAAGCTCCAGCTCGGTTCCTCCACACATTCAGGCCTCCCTGAATCCTGGAGGTCATGGGCCTCACCCCTGCCCTCACCACCTCGCCGGGTTGTGTCACCCACCACCATCACCCAGCTTCTTGCTTCTGTACCAAAGATGACACCCATATCTCCATCTGGAGCCTCAACCTTTTCCCTGAGTCCCAGACCGGCAGTCTTGCCATCACTTTGGTGCCTTTCCCTGGATGTTTCCTCCCATTCACAGGGTCTCACACTGGCTTCAACATCTCCCCAAGTCTGTTCCTGCATCCCCCTCACTCAGGAATGTCCTATTTTCTGGGACCTCTAGGAGGACACACCCCCTCCCCACTCCAGGGGCTCCCACCAGTTCATCCACACTCACTCTGGAAGAAGGTGATGTCAGGTGCTGGCTTTGCATCCCCAGATACACAGCTGACCATGTACTCTTGCCCAGCTACCCACGTGACTGTACTCCCTGCCTCGGGGGTCAGCTGAAGCACCTTGGGGGGCACTGGTGAGAAAAGATCTGGGGTGAGCTGCCACCACTGAGAAAAATAGGAGGATTTGGGTTTGGCATCTCGTTGCTCATCAGATGTGTACCCCGGGCCTGGGACTGGGGGCTTGGCATCCTGGGCCCTGGGGTAGGAGAGGGCTGGAAATCTGGACTCCTGTGTCCTGGGGGGGGGTCTCTCACCCATACCCAGGATGGAGAGGATCACTCTGGGAGACACAAGCTCAGGGCCTGTCTCTGAGCGGCCGACCTGGCACTCATACTCTGCATCGTCACTCAGGTCACACGCTTCAATATGCAGGTGGAATTCACCTGCAGGCGAGACCGGGGGTCCCAGGTCAGGACCCCAGGCAGCCCCTGCTGGTGGTTCAGCATCTTAGGCCCCAATCCCTTACCTCTAGTAGGGTCCCCTTCTAGGCGGTACCTCGGGAAGCTGGAGATCCTAGGATCCGGGCCCAGGAGTAGCCCATCCTTGGCCCATTGCACCACACTGCCAGGGGCGCTGACCCCACACTGCAGCTCAGCAGTGGCCCCCTCTACCACCGTCAAGTTTTCAGGCAGAGCCCAGAAGCCTCGCGGGGCTGAGGCAGGGAGCGGCAACTGGGCCAGGCCTGGGGACACAGGGGTGTCAGCAGGAGAGGGCAGAGGGTCCGTCTGGAGAACCTGAATGGGAAATGAGGGCCACGTGGTGCTGGGTCACAAGGCCAGGATCCCACTCACCTGCTGTCAGCAGCCCCATGAGGAGCAGGGGAGCCCTGATGGGGGTCCTCAGAGCCATCCTGGGTCCTCTGCCTGGGGCTCCCGCGGTGTCCACCGCCTGCCTCTTCTCTCTGTTTCTGTCTTTCGCTGGGTCCCTCTCCCTATGTCTCTGGCTTTTCTTATTGTCTCTCTTCGTCCATTTTTCTCCTTCTCTTTGTTTTCCTCTTTTCCCGCGAGTCAGTCTCTGTCTCTCTCACCTTTCCTCCTCTTCAGTCTCACCCTTCTTCCCTGCTGCCACCCCCACCCCTGCTCTCCTCTCACTATTCACAGCCCCTCAGGGAGGACTCTGCTGCTCAGAGGCCAGCAGGCTCCAGGAGCCCAGGAGAGCGATGAGGCTGATGTGGTCAGTGGCAGAGACCCAGCCCGATGCCGTCCTCACATTGCTGCCTCCCCCGGGTGCCCTCCCGAGTCTTCAGCTTCAGGCCTCTGCCCAGCAGGCTCCTCCCGGCCCAGCCGGAGCCTGAAATCCCCTGTCAGCACATGCCAGGAACATTCCACGGTGCCTCCCCAGGCCCCATGACCCCGAGGGCCTGGCTTGGGCCGGGGATAAGGGGCAGCTGGTCAGACCCAGGTGGAGAGCTGGAGCCAGCATGGGGAATAGGACTCCCCAGCTCTTCCTTGCCCTGGCACATGACCTTGGCAAGTCTCTGCCTTCCCAGAGTAGACATCTCATTGCCATCAGGGGTCTCTGCTGGACAGTGTGCAAGAGTGTGTTTGGGAGACTGCAAAAGTGCAGATATCTGTGTGCATATGTGTGTGTGAAGGCATGATGATGCGTGTGAGCATGGGGAAGGTGAGAGTGAAATGTGATCTGTCAAAGTATGCGCGGGAGTACCTGTGTGTGAAAGAGTGTCTAAGGAATATAAGTGTGCAGGGCTGTCAGAGTGGGTGGAATGAAAGGCAGGTCCAAGACCGCCTGCACTAAGTGGCTACAGGAGTGAGCCCAGCTTGGGAACCCTGTGGCCATGTGAGTTCTAGTTCATGAAGCTTCCCTCTGTCTCTCTCTCTCTCCCACTCCCTCCCTCCATTAGGTGGTTACATCTCAGGCAACCTTTACCTATGTCACTGTCTCTTTTTATGCCTCTACGTGTCTCTGTTTTTCTGCCTTTCTTTGTTCTCCTATCCCTTGCTCCACATGCTCTGTCTCTCTCACACACCAGACGATCAATAAATATTTGTTCTCGGGATGCCTGGGTGGCTCAGTCGGTTAAGCATCTGCCTTCAGCTCAGGTCATGATCCCAGGGTCCTGGGATGGAGCCCCGCATCGGGGTCCTTGCTCGGCAGGGAGTCTGCTTCTCCCTCTGCTGCTCCCCCTGCTTGTGTGCTTGCTGTCTCTCCCTCGCTGACAAATAAATAAAAATCTTTTAAAAATATTTGTTCTCGGTCAACATTTGACTACACCTCTTTCATTTGTTTCTCCATCGCTGAGCCCTCCCGGTTGTCACATCTTTGAATTTTATAACCCTATGCTGCTTGGCCTGCCCTCCCCATCCCAGCGTGCACACATACAAACTCACACGGGATAAGCTGCTTCTGCCTGCTTATCTCCTGCAGGAATTGGAACTGCCCGTTTCCTCCCACCGCCCCCACCCCCACTCCCTTCTCTGGTCCTCCTCCAGGAACAAGATGAGGCATCTGGCCTGAACCGCCACAGCTCCATCCTTGATGTTCCCTCTAGTCTTTCTCCTTCCCTCCCATTACTGACTCCCTGCCCTCCCCCACATTCCCTCTCCCAACTGCCCCCCACACCTCCTGGGGAATGGTCTGGGTGCAGAGCTGAAGGTTCTGTCAATAGGGGCTCTCACCAGATGGTGTCCCTCAGGGCCAGGGTGTAGAGTTGTCAGTTGCTGGGACCTTTAATTAGGACAAACCTTCCACCCTCCACCTTGGCTGTTTTCCTTCTCTGGATGCTCCTGGGATCTCCCACTCTCCATTTTTCCATGCCTGTGGCCCAAGAGAGCCAGGAAGGGGAAGCAAAGTCAGGTGTCTGGAAAAACAACCTTACTAGCTGACTTTCTCCCCAAGACTCAGGAGTCCCGGCTCCGAGCTCATCCTCTGTCAAAATCCAGGCACTGGATTCCCCAAACAGAAGCCGGCTCAGGCCCCCAGACCTAGAAGTCTGGGTCCCAAGGACCCACCGCTCTCAGACTCAGGAGTCCAGGCCTGCCACTGCTTCTCCCCAAGGACCCAGGAGTTCAGGCCTCCAACCCTTCCCCCCACCACACACAGGACTTAGGGCAGATGTTCACTGTCTGTGATTTACAAATCCTCCTGGGCCTGTGTGGGGGTGGGAGAGATTGGTGGTTAATCCACTGACTCTAAGATTTAAGACCAGATTTTCTGACCCCCTGCCATCCTCTCCGAACTGCACCATGCTGCAGGCAGGGGACCTAGTTGAGTCCCCAACTCCCGAGAAACTCGCAGTTGAGGCCATTAGTTTCTCAGTCAACAGAGGTCTAAATACCCGGTCTCAGAATCCGGAGTCCAAGTCCCTGCCATTTGGAGATGCAAGAATCTGAGCTCAGGAACAACAGAGAACCTGAGTGTGGGCCCCCAGTCCCTGCAGGCTCAGGAATGTCAGACCCCGAGTCCCGGGCCCCCCGGCCCCACTCGGTGGGCTCAGGGTCCCGCCCACCTGCCCGGCCAGCTGCGCAGCGCACGGGCCCGCCTGCAGCGTGGGAACGCCCCAGCTGGGCGGCATGCAGCCGTCAGGACAAGCTGCGCGGTTCCCAGCCTCCCGGCTTGGCCCAGCTCGGGCACCGCCGCCTCCCAGCCGTCGCCCGGCAACCACAGTCGCGTGGGATGAGGGGCTGAGCCTGGACTGCGGGGTCTCGGGAAAGGAGGGGCTGGGGGCCTGGATTCCTGGATCCTTGGACGTGCTATGGTTTGCCGCGGTCACAAGGCAGGCAGAGGGATATTTTGAGCTGGGGTTTTGAGGCGAGAAGAACTGAACCCCCTCCTCCTCTCAGGGGTCCCCAGTTGCCCCCAGGCACCCCGGTGTCCTCTTCCTGACCCGCAGGCCCGGGGGAGCCCTGGGCCCCGCCTCCCCAAGCTGCGGAAACTAGCGAAGCCCCAGGGGCTGCCATTTATAGCTCCGTTTCCACTCGGCGCGTTCCCTCCAGGACCCAGGCTGAGCAAGTTTCTTCCACTCTCTCCCCCGCCATGCCCCCAACAAGCCTGGCAGGGTGCAGGTGTCCAACCCAGCCGGTTCGCCCTCCTTCGACCCAGCTGTTCCGGCTCCCAAGACCCCAACTTGGCTGGGGCGCCCGCCCGCGGGAGACCCCGCCCTGCGGTGCCCCCATTCATCCACGTCTCGGCCGCGGGAGTTACTCAATGGGAAGGGGCGGGTCTCCCAGGGGGCGGGGCGAGTGGGATCAGGCCCTCCCCGGTCTCTCAGGGACCGAGGGCGCGGAAACCGCTTGTGTTTCTGAGTGTTGGAGGCTGCGGCTGAGCCGACTTGGGAAACTACAGGCCAGAAACGGGGTGGCTCCTAGCCTGGGGCGAAGACCCGGGCGCGAAAGGAGCCCCGACCAGGGTGGTGAGAGGTGTACCGTTGAGGACGGGCTTAGCAAGGAAGCCAGGGCAACAGCAAGTCTACGGGATCTTGGGGGACACACATTCAGAATGCTGGTCCCCGCCCTCCTCCTCCTCCTCTTCTGCCTCCGAGGGCATGCAGGTACCTCGAGGGGTGGGGGAATTGGGGGGAGGATTGTTTGCCAGCTGCCTCTTTATTGGGGTAGATGGAACGGCGGTGGGGGGATGTTGTGCTCAGACTCCTAAGTCTGCAGGGGGAGAACTCTGGGAGGCTGGACTCCTGGGTCCTGAATGAGGGAGCCAACCTCATTGCTAAACTGAACGCTGCTCCCCTCCCCCGATCCTCCTAGGTCTATCGCCCCATTTCCTGCAACAACCAGATGACCTGGTGGCTCTGCTGGGGGATGAGGCCCGGCTGCCCTGTGCCCTGGGGGAATACTGGGGGCTGGTTCAGTGGACTAAGGATGGACTGGCTCTAGGGGGTGAAAGGGACCTGCCAGGTGAGACTGTTCTGTCTACTCAGGAGGGGTTGGCTCCAGGTGGGGATGCTGGGCTTGGTCTGTATCTGAAGTTTCTATTTTGATGTTTTCAAATTTGGGAAATTGTTGGGCTCAGATGAACATCTGGGAGAACTAACGTCTTAGCTTCTTCTTTGGGGAGTAGGGGATTTTTATTTGCATTATAAAATATTACATAAATGCAGAAACTCACCTAAAACATAAAGGGAAGATTTGTCAAATAGTTCTAAAGTAGACACTCATGTAACTACTACTCACGACCATCGTCAGCTCCCCAGAAGCCTTTCCTACTCCTTTCTCCTATCGTAGCCCTCTGCTCACCCCAGAGGTAGTATCTAATCTGACTTCTATGGCAATTGTTCTCTTGCTTTTTTCTGACTTTTTCACCCGCCCCCAGTTTGGCGTGACTCTGGATTGGGAGGGGGTTAGAGTCTCTCTAGTGGCCCAGCACCCACTTTTGGGTGTCTTTCTGGTGTGGGATGTCTGGGGAGGGAGGCTGGGGCCAGGAACTCAGAACCATGGTGTGACCGCCTCTTCCTTAACTGCAGGGTGGTCCCGGTACTGGATATCAGGGAATGCAGCCAGTGGCCAGCACGATCTTTACATTAGGCCCGTGGAGCTAGAGGATCAAGCTTCATATGAATGTCAGGCTACACAAGCAGGCCTCCGCTCTCGACCAGCCCAACTGCATGTGTTGGGTGAGGACCCAGCTCACTTGTCCCTGGGAAGCCCAGGGGACAGCCAGTGCTAGCTGAGTATCAGAGTCCAGGGAGCCCAGAGGGGTGGTCAGTTAAGGCTGGGAAGATTGGGGTTTTGGGGCTCAGGATCCAGCTCTGACCCCCAATCCACCCCACAGTGCCCCCAGAAGCCCCCCAGGTGCTGGGCGGCCCCTTTGTGTCTCTAGTGGCTGGTGTTCCTGCAAATCTGATCTGTCGGAGCCGTGGGGATGCCCGCCCCACCCCTGAGCTGCTGTGGTTCCGAGATGGGATCCGGCTGGATGGGACCACCTTCCACCAGGTCAGGTCCAAATCCCTCTGCAGCCCTTGCCCATTCAGGGAAATTTGGGGCCCACTCAGATCATAGGCTTATCCAGAGAGAGGGGCATGGGAGGGAAGAGGTTCAAGTATTGGGACCCTTGGTATGTGATTAAGGGTAAGAACTCCAGAGCCAGACTACCTAGGTTCAAATCCTGGCTCAGCCACTTGCTAGTTGATTGGTCTTAAGTTCAAGCAGCTTAACCCCTCTGTCCCTCAGTTTCCTTATCTGTACAATAGGGACAATTATAGTCACTTCATAGGGTAATTGTGAAGATTAAATAAAGTGCTTAGAAGTGACACATAGTAAACACTATATAAGGGGTAGATGAAGTCATTATTATTATTCATAACCTCCAGACCCTGCTGAAGGAAGGAACCACTGCATCAGTGGAGAGCATCTTATCCTTGACTCCTTCCAGTCATGATGATGGAGCCACCTTGGTCTGTCGGGCCCGAAGCCAGGCCCTGCCGTCGGGGAAGGATACAGCTATCACACTGAGCCTGCAGTGTGAGTGCAGTTAGACAGTGGCCCTTAAGCCAGAGGCCCTTGGGAAAAGAGGGACCTGAGGCTAGACTCCAGGGTATGAGGAAGGAGGAGGTTGTGGACCTGGGGCCCTGGGGGAATTGGGAACTGGAGTCCTGGGCTCCTAGCTCAAAAGGAAGAGGAGACTGGGGACCCAGCCCGTGAGAGGCTGGGCATTGGACTCAGGCGCTCCATGGAGGTGTTCCAGGTCCTTGCCCACCGCTGACCATGACCCACCTCCACAGACCCCCCGGTGGTGACTCTGTCTGCAGAACCACAGACTGTGCTGGAGGGAGAGAAGGTCACTTTTCTGTGCCAGGCCACAGCCCAACCTCCTGTCACTGGCTATAGGTGAGGACGAAGGTCACCTCTCCTCAGCCCGGAGCACGGGTTTGGGGAGGACTGCACTTGGGACGTGAGTGGGTGTACCTGGGGAGCAGGGACAACACGAACAGCCCCACTCCCTCCGCAGGTGGGCAAAGGGAGGCTCCCCGGTGCTCGGGGCCCGCGGGCCAATGTTGGAGGTCGTGGCAGACGCCTCATTCCTGACTGAGCCGGTGTCCTGCGAGGTCAGCAACGCTGTGGGTAGCGCCAACCGCAGCACCGCGCTGGACGTGCAGTGTGAGCCGGGGCGGGGCCCTGGGTGGGGCCAAAGTGGGGCCGACTGTAAAGGGCCAGGGGCTAGAGTGGGGCGTGGCTGCGACGGGCCTCGGGAGGAGGTGGAGCCGGAATAGGATGTAGGCGGGGATTGGCTGTGCTGCGTCAGTGCCAAGGAGGAGCAGGGGCGGGGCGCGGGCGGGGCCCGGGCGTGTGAGCCGGGAGCGTGAGCCGAGTGGCTGTGGACTGGCCGCCTATACTTGGGCCCTTGGAGCTGTCGTTTCTGAGTGACTGATCCCGGGTCAGAAGTTGCATCCCCGGCCATGCGACGCCTCCTCTCTCCTCTCCAGTCGGGCCAATTCTGCAGGCAAGGCCAGAGCCCATGTCAGTAGACGTAGGGGAAGACGCTTCCTTCAGCTGTGCCTGGCGCGGGAACCCGCTCCCACGGGTAACTTGGACCCGCAGCGGGGACGCGCAGGTGAGACACGATCTGGGGCCTGTGGCCGCGGCAGGCGGTGGACGGGGTTTCCCCTCAAGGTCCTGCCCCTGACGCCCCTACCCCATCCCAGGTGCTGAGCTCCGGGCCCACGCTGCGTCTTCCGTCGGTGGGGCCCGAGGATGCAGGCGACTACGTGTGCAGAGCTGAGCCGGGGCTCTCAGGCCTGGGGGGCGGCGCTGCGGAGGCTAAGTTGACTGTGAACGGTGAGAAAGTGGCGCTTCCTAAAAGACCGGGGAGAGCCTGGGACACGGAGCGGGCAGAGCGGGCGAGCTCTAAACGGGAGTGGGCGTGGCCTTGAAAAGGCGAGCTGGGTTAGACCGCGGGGCCAGGGGTGGGAGCCGGACCGGACGAAGGCTAGCCTCTGAGAGGTTCTGAGTTTGTTGAGGGGTGTGGCCTGCTTGACTGGCGTTAGTGGAGAGGGCCAAGACCTGGCCCCGGCTTACTGAGAATTGGAGTTTCCGAGGGCAGGGCCTCTATCTGACTGGTCCACAATCTCCAAACCAGCTCCCCCAATTGTGACCGCCCTGCATTCTGCGCCCGCCTTCTTGAGGGGCCCCGCCCGCCTCCAATGTCTAGTCTTCGCATCCCCAGCCCCAGATGCCGTGGTAAGGAAATGTCCCCGCTGTCATGACCGGCCCAGCCGTGATCCCTGACCTCCCAGCCGGACCTCCAAAACTGCTATGACCGACACCCTGCCCGCCCTTCCCTCCCCTTCCAATCTCCTTAATGATTTCCCTTTTTTTGTGCCCCCAGGTCTGGTCTTGGGATGGGGGCTTTCTGGCGGCGGGGTCGCAGGGTCGGTTCTTGGTGGAGACGTTCCCAGCCCCAGAGGGCCGCCAGGAACAGGGCCCAGCCCTGATCTCTGTGCTACACATTTCGGGGACCCAGGAATCCGACTTTAGCCGGGGTTTCAACTGCAGTGCCAGGAACCGGTTGGGTGAGGGAGGCACCCAGGTCAGCCTGGGCCGTAGAGGTGAGATCCTGGGCCTAAAGACTCCAAATCTGAGGATCCCAAACCCCCAAAACACCACAATCTCTAAACCAAGGACCTCCAAATACAGACAGCCTCGAACCTTGAAAGCCTCAAAACTACAAGTCCTTTGAATGCTGACACCCCCCGAAACAGTAAATTCCTTTAAATATGTAATTCTAAACCGAGAGACCCCTCACACTTAGGTACCCCAAAGAAGGGAAGCTCCAAATATGGGGAATTGCAAAGTTAAAAAACGCTCTAAATCTAGGACTCCCTAAAGCCAGAGAGTTTAAACTTGTGGAACCCCAAATTCAAGAGCCCTTAAACCTGAAGGACCCCGAGCTAGGGACTACAAACTTGGGTATCCCCAAACTAGGTGGCCTTTTGAACCCAGAGACTCCAACCCAAGCAAGCCCTGAGTCCCTCTTCCCCAGTTCCTCCTGGGCCTCACACTTAGCCTCCTCAGAACACCCCCTCTCCTCCCCACAGACTTGCTGCCCACTGTGCGGATTGTGGCTGGAGCGGCTGCTGCAGCCATGACGCTTCTAATGGGCATCATTGGGGTGACCCTCTGCTGCTGGCGCCATGGCAAGGGTCAGTGACGGAGCCCCACCTCAGTACCTTCCCCCAACCCTCTCCTCCCCACCAGCTGACCTGGCCTTGACCTGGCCCCAGTCCCTCCCTCTCTGGTCTTGGCTCACCTTCGGGCCCTGACTCCTCCCTCAAGCCCTATGTCCGTCTTCTCAGGGTCCTGCTCCTTCCCCGCCCAGGTTCTCGTTGTTCCCCCGCCTCCTGACCCAACCCAGTCCTCTTTCTTCCTGCTCGTTGGTCTCCACAAACTGTGACCCTGCCCCATCCCTTATCTCTGCTGCCCCACTGTCCCTGGCCTCAGCCTCTTTCTCCAAGCAAAAGAACCTGGTGCGACTCCCAGGCAGCAGTGATGGCCCCAGTCCTCGGGGCCCCGAGGAGGAGACAGGCAGCGGCGAGGACCGGGTAGGATGCCAGGGTCCCCAGACCCAACTCTGCCTCTAGAACAATTAGTAACCCAGTCCCAAATGTTCTCCCAGTCCCAGCTGGGCCCCCCAACTCGAAGAGGGTCTGCGTCCCAACAAATGACCCCAGGCTCAAGTGTCCCCCAAGTCCAAATATGCCCCTGACCCAGTTATTCCCTAGACCAGATATGTCCCCAGGGCCCTTTGTCTTGAGTCCAGAGCCCAGCTCCAGGTGCTCTTGGTCCGTCCTGCCCGGCCTCCACTGTCCAGCTGAGGGTTGTCAGGGTCTGGCACTGGGCCAGGAGGATCCTCTGAGCACTCCCTCTCACTAAGCACCCTACCGCAGGGCCCCATCGTGCACACGGACCACAGTGACCTGGTTCTGGATGAGGAGGGGGCTCTGGAGACCAAGGTGAGTGTTGGGAAGGGAAGGGTTCCCTTCACTGGGTCTCCAGCTCTCTCCCTGCTTGGTCCCCTCCTTTTTCACTCTGTTGCCCCCAGACCTGGGCCTTGGCCCCCTTCACCCTTTCTTCCTGCCTCCTGGCCACTTCACTCACCGCTGATTATGCCCACAAATCTGTCCAGCCTTGGCCTCCCCCTTGAGCTTTCCCATCACAGTCCCACCTCAGGCCTCCTGGATGCCTCTGCCAGGGCCCTTCCACCTACCAGGTCCCACACTGGCCTCACATTTCCCCAAACCTACCCCTCCTTTGGAGTCCCCTCTTTTGAGCTCCACTGACCTCAGTCCCCAAGCCAGAGCCCTTCTGTGTCTCCTCTGTATGTAGCACATGCCACTCTGTTGGCCTAAAACACGCTTTCCTTCCCATACCTGCCTAATTCTGTCCTTCATTCCTCTGGCCTCGGCTCAAACACTTCTCGTTCTAGAAAGCCCATGCTTCCCTCCTCACAGCCCTGGTCATGCTGTGTTCTGCCTGTCACAACCGGGACCACGCTGTCCTGGCTTCCGGTCCCCACCCTGAAATCCTGCTTCTGCTTCCCCGTCGAGCCTTCTCACTCGGCCTGTCCTTTCCGCATCACTATGCTGACCCCTCTGGACTCTGGGGATTTGCCATGTCCTCTTTGGCCGTGGATCTCCATGAAGGCAGGGGACCCCGGTCTCTCCCCATGATGGTCACCTCCAGCAACAGCATAAAGCATGACACGGAATCAAAGCCTTGGGGCTGGTGGGCAGATGAATGAATGTCTTGGTCTCAATCTCTCTGTTTCCTCGCCGCATCTCCTTCCACAACACCAGGCCTTAGCAGGCCTATATCCTTCTGTTGCTGCCTTTCTCTGCCCATCGCCTTCTGTCTCTTTGTCTCTTGTCACTGTTTTTCTGTCCCACTTTGTCTTCCTATCAGTCTATGTGTCTATCTCTGTCTCTGGGTCTCAGCTTGCTCCTATTTCTAAGTCTTTTAGTCTCTCTCTAGGTCATGCTTTAAGTGTGTCTCTCCATTAGGGATCCTAACCTCCCCCCCCCCCTTATATCCTCATATAACTTAACAAATCCCATTTGTCCCCTCAGGATCCAACCAATGGTTACTACAAGGTCCGAGGAGTCAGTGTGAGCCTGAGCCTTGGTGAAGGCCCTGGAGGAGGCCTCTTCCTGCCGCCCCCCTCCCCCCTTGGACCTCCAGGGACCCCTACCTTCTATGACTTCAACCCACACCTAGGCATGGTCCCCGCCTGCAGACTGTATAGAGCTCGGGCAGGTTATCTCACCACACCCCACCCTCGAGCTTTTACCAGCTACAGCAAACCTACATCCATTGGACCCCCAGATCTGGCCCCCAGGACTCCACCCTTCCCATATGCTGCCTTCCCCATACCCAGCCACCCGCGTCTCCAGACTCATGTATGACACCTCTCCAAATGAAGAGTCCTGGAATCTTCGACTTGCCATAATGGATTGTGCTGATTTCTGAGGAATCAGAACAAGTTGGTGACCTTCCTCCTCCAAATCTGAACACTGATGGGAGAGAAAGATCATTACAGTTATCTGGATCACTGGTGTACAGTGAGGTCAGCCAAAGGGGTTGCCCCGAGTGGGAAGCAAGATGGCCATTTGACCAATTATTCCCCTGTGTAAAAGGGATTCAAGATGGCAGATGGGCTCTTTGTTGAGGGATGGGGACAGGGGGTGATAGGAGTTAGGGGCAGGGATGGAAGTTATTTCCAGACATTGAAAGAAGAGATTTCAAAATGATCACCTGTACTGAGAAGACAGGCAACATAGGACAGATTTATATGGAAGCCAGACCAGGTCCTGTCCTGGTTCTCCCTGAGGGGCACTTTTCTTGGCCAATGGAAGTGCAGCCAAGATGGCTGTTCACTCTCTGATAACCCAATATGGCCACTATCCTGATTCCTTCCAACTTCCTTCAAGGCCCTGGAAGAATTGAATCCAAGGAGTGAGGATAGGGTGAGAAATGTCATGAGGAGAGGGGAGTAGAGTGGGGCGGGTAGGGGTGGGGATCTGGAGTTGAGAATATTTATGTTTAATAATAAAAAAAAAGTTGAGAAGTGAATGTGTCTTGGGCATTCTCCTAGCATTATCACCCTTCACAAGGAAGGGGTCCATTAACTCTGCCCCCAAGGTCTTTCCTCTACCCTAGGCAATGAAGTGGCTCTGGAACAAAACCATGAGCCACCTCCCAGCCCTTTGCTACCCATTTAGCACTCCAGGCTCTTTTGATATACATCCATGCAAACACGCATGCACAGGTGCACATGCATGACAGGGCTGCTCCAGTTGGCTTGGGAAAGACAGAATTCTGGTTATTTGAGGAGACAAAGCAGTGAGCCCTGAAGAGGAGGGGAGGGAGAAGCTAGAGGGGCTAGAGAGAATAGAAATGCCGTGGTCCTTAAAGCGAGGATGGGTTGAGTCCTGTGGTGCTGGGCACCTGACTCAGGTCATCCTTAAAGAAAGGGCCTGGGGGCTTTGGTTTATGAATCCTTGAGATAGGAATTAAAGGTCCAGACACCTGGGATCCTTGGAAAGCAGACGGAAGGCCAAGACTCCTGAGTCTTAGGGAGAAAGGGCAGCGGCTCGGTCTCTGGTCCTGAAAATGAAGGTGCCTGCAGCCCGGACTCCTGAATCTGAGGGAGAAGGGGACTGGGTCTCCGCAGCTGTGTCCTTGATTAGGGAAATTTCGGGGGCCTCTACTACTGGGACCTCAAGAGAGGAATTTGCTGGGGGGAGAGGTCTCCAATGCCGGCATGCCTGGAAGAGAAGGCTGATTTGTGAGTGTATGGGTGGCGGGGGGAGAGAAAGCTGGGGGTGAGGGTCCTGAGGAAGGGCTCAAAACGGCGGAGCCTATGACCCAGACTCCTGGCTAGGCCCTTGCACGGGGAGGGACTCCCAGAACCTCTAGGAGGCGGGGGCCTGGCGCTGGCTCCCACCCGGGGGTTCCCGAGCTGCTCCAGTCTGCGCAGAGCTGCCACGCTATTGTCCTGGCTAGGAAGGCGGGGCCGGCGTGGGGCGGGGCTGGCGGCGCCGGCGCAGCCCGGGGGCGGCGGGAGGAGGCGGCGGCGGCGGCCGTGGCGCTGGGAGCTCCTGTCACCGCTGGGGCCGGGCCGGGCGGGAGTGCAGGGGACGTGAGGGCGCGAGGGCCGGGACATGGGGCCCACCAGCCCCGCCGCTCGAGGTCTGGGCCGCCACCGGGGCCCGCCGCCGCTGCCGCTGTTGCTGCCGCTGTTGCTGCTCCTTCTGCGCGCGCAGCTCGCCGTCGGGAGCCTGGCCGGTGGGAGCCCCGGCGCGGCCGAGGTGAGGCCCGGCCGGGTCCTGGGGGATGGGGGAAGGGGCGGGACCGGGCCTTGGACCGGGATGCGGACACGTCCAGGGCAGAAAGCGCAGTCTTTCCAGCTAAGTGGCCGGCCCCCATACGCCCCTAACGGCACTAGGCATTCATGAACCCAGGAGTTCTGGTCCCAGCTCCCCCATCTTCTGTCCTCCCAGCCGCCTCCCGCCCCTAGCTTAGGAACTGACTGTTCCAGAGCCCCTGGTCCCAAAAGTCTAGCCCCCTCAGACCCTCTTGACCTAGGTGACTCAGCCCCAACCCCTTCCCACCTGAACATGGGACCCACCAGACAGTATGACACCTGAATCCAAGAATGTTGGCCCCTTGCATCCTCTGGACCCATTTGAGGGCCCCCGCAGCCTCCCAGAACCCAGGAGTCTAGGTCTTCAGTCACCGACCCCCGACCCAGGGTGCAGCTCTCCAGCCCTCAAAGGATTGATGTCCAGGCCTGCAGGGCCCTGAAGCCAGGCCTTGTCGTCTTTGCACTGGAGAATGGGACCCTGAGCTAGGGATGAGGGAGGAGGGGCCAGAACGCCTGGGTTCTGGCCTCCTCCCCCGCGATTCAGTTTTAACCCCTTCAGGCTCCAGTGCGGCTGCGCCGGGGTGGGGGCGGAGCCTGTCTCCGCGGCAACAAGGCCGCGAGACTCCCGGGGGACCCGGGTCGCCATAGCAACCGGAGAGCTGGGGCGCCCCCGCCCTGTGGGAGCTGTTTCCCGGGGAACAGAACCTCTTACGAGGCGGGTGCGCGATGCTTTGTGGAGGGGGCTGGTGCTGGGGGTCTGAACTTCTGGGTCCTAAGGAGCAAAGGTCCGGGGGACCCACGTGCCAGCGTCCCGGGGCCCTCGCTGACCCCTCCGACCCGACCCTCAGGCCCCGGGGTCGGCCCAGGTTGCTGGACTATGCGGGCACCTAACCCTTCACCGGGACCTGCGCACCGGCCGCTGGGAACCAGACCCACAGCGCTCGCGACGCTGTCTCCGGGACCCGCAACGCGTGCTGGAATACTGCAGACAGGTGGGCGGGACCTACTGGGAGGGGCGTGGTCAGCGGGAAAGTCTTTCCGAGACTGGGCCGCGTCGCCCAAAAGAAGCTAGTGGTACAAAAGGCATGGTCCAGGGAGAATGAGGATCTAAGTAGGCGGGGGAAGCTAGGGGGCGTGGCCAAGAAAGAGTTGAATTTAGGATAGGGCAGGACCTGTTTTTGAGAAACTAGGTCAGGAAAAGAGAACTGTGCAAAGAGGGCCTGCTAAGGACGGTAGCCAGTGAGGAGACAAGAGTTTAGCCATCTGTGGTGGGCTCCTTAAAGAGTAGGGTATAGGTGGGCGTGGCCAGGGGAGAGGCGGGGCTAAGAAAAAAGACCTTTTGGACCTGCAAGATAGGAAAAGGGCTGGAGCCCAAGGAGAGTAGAAAGCTAGGAGGCGTGGCTACGAAAAGGCAGTTCTAATACAAAAAGAAGGGATGCTTCCTGAGAAGCCAAACCGAGGAAGAGGTGAGGCTTAAAGGAGGGCCAGACCTATTGGGGGAGGGGACAGAGGTGACCCGGAGAGAGGTGGGTTTACGGGATTAAGTTTCTGGGTGGTTGGCGGGGCTTCTGAGGGAGAGCTACTGGGGGCGTGGCCAGGGGGCCTGCTGGCTTAGATATGTAAGACCGATTCTACGGAGAAGCAGAGCCTAGGGAGATCATTAGAGCCTTGAAAAGGGACATGGCCAGTGGAGAAGCACGGCTGGCAGGGGCGAGGCTGTGAGTTGATCGCCCCTACCCGGTGCCCCCAGATGTACCCGGAGCTGCAGATTGCGCGTGTGGAACAGGCGACACAGGCCATCCCCATGGAGCGCTGGTGCGGGGGTGCCCGGAGTGGCCGCTGTGCCCACCCCCACCACCAGGTTGTGCCTTTCCGCTGCCTGCGTGAGTCACAAGCTGGGGGAGGGGATTAGAAGTGGGGGGTCTCCCAGGGGTGAGATTCTGGGCCCTGGGCTCAGGTTCACATTAGGGATCTGGATGTCTGGTGTCAGAGTGGGGCAGAGAAACCTCTGAGGATAAAATGCCTGGATTCTGAGGAGGGCAGAGCTAGTGTCTGTGGGAAGGTCTCACCCTGGTGCCCCCATTCCTCAGCAGGTGAATTCGTGAGCGAGGCCCTGCTGGTGCCTGAAGGCTGCCAGTTCTTGCATCAGGAGCGCATGGACCAGTGCGAGAGTTCAACCTGGAGGCATCAGGAGGCACAGGAGGTCAGAACCCTGGCCCATCCATCCTCACCCCCCAGAACCCAGGAGTCCAGTCCCCTAACACCCCGTCCCCTCCAGAACCTGAGTCTGGGCCTCAGCCCCCTCCTCCCACTGGGACAGAATCAGGAATCCAGGCTCCAGCCCCATCAACCACCAAGACCTAGGCATCCAGGCTCCCCTTTACTCTCTCCTAACCCACAATCCTGGCATCTGGGTCTACTTTTTCCACAGGCCTGCAGCTCCCAGGGCCTCATCCTGCATGGCTCGGGCATGCTTTTGCCCTGTGGCACAGATCGGTTCCGAGGTGTGGAGTATGTGTGCTGCCCCCCTCCGGTGACCCCCGATCCATCTGGGACAGCAGTTGGGTGAGTGGGAGGGAACCCTCCATGCCCATCCCAAGGCTTCTGAGGCAGGAAATGGAAGCCTGGGGATGCGGGTTAGATTCTCATTGCCTTGAGTCTTCTGTTCCCTCAGTGACCCCTCCACCCGGTCCTGGCCCCTAGGGGGCAGAGTAGAGGGGCGTGAGGATGAGGAAGAAGAGGAATCCTTCCTACAGCCAGTAGACGATTACTTCGTGGAGCCCCCACGGGCTGAAGAGGAAGAAGAGGAGGAAAGAATTCTACCATCAAGCTCCCATAGCCCTGCAGGGATCAGCAAAGGTGAGACGGTCTCTGGACCCTTAGTCCCTCTACCCTGGAGGGAGGATGATTGGAGGGAGCCTTGGTGTAGAGGCATCTTTAGGAGGGATGTGTTGGGGAGAGCCCCAACTGGGAGGATTGGAAGGGATGGGAGTAACTTGGGATAAAGAAGAGGTGGAAGGGCTGTCCTGTGAAGAATGCAAAGGGTGAGGGTGTTTTGGGGGTACCTGGAGGTAGAGGAGCCA